AACCAACAGTTCAAAATCCAGCACAACAACAACAACAACCAGCACAACAACCAACACAACAACCAGCACAGCAACCAACAGTTCAAAACCCTGCACAACAACAACCACAAACAGAGCAAGGACATAAAAGAAGTAGAGAACAAGGAAACCAAGAATTCTTAAAAATGCTTAAAGAAGAGTGTGGTTTCCCAGATAGTATTGACTTTAGTGACAGATATAAAGAAGCTATTGGAAAGTTCAAGGAAGGAAATACTGACCCGAACCTATTTAGCTTTATGGCTCAGCACCAAAAACGGATATTAATCTCAAACCTGGAAAATACAAGCTCGCTAAGGGATATGATTTAATAGCATATCATCCAAATGACATGGATGAACGGAATTTACTCCGAGATATTTGATGTCAGAGCTAAATGACAATTCAACTTTCGTCATGAAACGCGTAAAAAATAGAGACGGAACGAAAGAACAAAAGCTTATGAATGCGGATGACGTAGATAGGGAAATTGTTGAAAACGGTCTCGGAATATATGAAATGCCAGCAGATGAGGTACAAGAAAACTCCACAGGAAGAAATAGTTCAGATACAACCAGACATGGAAGAAATAGTTCAGCAACAACAGCTAGAAGAGCCTGAAGGAAACGAACAAGTCACTCCTTTGGAAACTAACTTCACAGAACTAGATGAAGATTTGGAACAGCCGAAAAATCTTGACCCTCAACAAGAGTATGCGGAGAATATGGAATTTTCCAAGAGAAAAAATTTCAAGGGGAAGTCTGAAAAATGTTTGCCGACATACAAAAAGACTCCAACACCAGATGAAAATATTCAGCATAGAATGGAAGAACTGAAAAAAAATGTACACAAATACAACAACCCTTTTTACTTACGAGCATTTAACGTTCAATCTTCGGATGAACTCGGTGAAAATAAAAGGTTAAATTTCAAGAAAACATATAGAAATGAAACATTGTTTAAAGTTCATTCAGAACCTAACCAAGATGGAAACAAACCTACTTTTGTTTCTGCAGACGATGGAACTACAATGAGATGGGGTCATAAAGCTAACCCGGATAGGTGGTTCATAAACTTACAACCACAATTCCAAGAAGTTGTAGACGCAATGGAAGTCAATGGTGAACCAGATATAGTGGTATTTAAGCGCGGCTTTAATGCCATTGAAAGATATGAAAGATGCAGATATTTTGAACCAGTATGAAATGAACATGGCTGATGGAAATATAACACCTGACGTTCTAGAACATTTATCTCAAAGAACTACACAGAACCATAGAGATGGTATATTTGGTGAAGAGTTTAGAAAGAAAGTTAGGGAGGGAGAAGGAAGAACCTATTGTACATGACCTTGCAAACGAAAGTTACAAAATGTCATAAAAACTTACTTTGCAGACAATGAACGAGAAGGGATGAATATTTAAGAAAACTCAAATGGACAGTACCAAATGAAATGTTAGTATTGAAAACATGTTCCTTGACAAAATAAAACCAACTACAGAAATAAACGACGAAAGACTGAAAGATTGGGTAAAAGCTTTCCCATTCACAAAAGATATAGTTGGTAACATGGAAAGAAAACCAGAATGGCTACAAAAACATATATTTGGAAACGAGCTTATTCCATATGGACAGGCACTGTTTGAAGAGCTTGAACCGGAAACTCAGGAAAGAGTCATGCAAACAATACGCGAAGACTCAAATACAAACTATGACAAACTCTTTCTAGGATATAGGTTACCTGAGATGGGCGACCAGAGCCAAAGGCAAAAAGGACATGGGAAATTTGCAACATACTAGATGAACATAATGCAAAGATGCAACAACTTCAAGCAGAGGGCAATGAAGGAAAAGAAGAGTTAAAACTCAGTCAGGAAGAAAGTAAAGCTTGGTCCACGTGGGTTCTATTATGACATATAAATCCAACTATTCTATATTTTACTCATATGAAATGTACGCCGCTCAGAATATAACGCCAACAGTTTTGGATGCCATGAACGGAAATGTTTCCGAATGGTATAACGAATGCGACAATGCCATTAGAAGGTCAGAAATAGTTCCTGGAACTTACGAATATACAACTGCTGTTTCTTATGGAAACGTAGGTGAGTTTGGAGAAGGTTCTTCAACAACAGTAGATATTGCTTGCGACAGGTTTCATATTATTTCTATTGACAACTCATTCTTATACGTGGAACAAGACATTGAAATAAAACCTTCTGCCAAGTTGTCTGACAAGAAAGGTTGCAATGGAATTTTCTATGTCGGATACCAATATGCTCCAGAAGTTTTCATGGGATATAAGATATATTCTAACTCTGACTTAGTTCAAACAGTAACATGGGCAAACTATGAATGGTTCGCTTTGAGAAACTCAGTACAACCACAAGCTAGAGAACAAACAGACCAGTATGCAACTATTGAGAAAATAAGAAGACTTGACCCTAACGTTCCAGGAGTTTATGTTAACCTTTCTGGACAAACTGCAGCAGCAGTAACCAAAGTAAAACTGAAACTTAGAGTTCCTTTGTCATCTTTCCTCATCTTCAGGTTTTTAAGATACTTGCCAAACTGGGCAGGAAAAATTTCTATCGAACTTACTCCAAGCAAAAATAACTTAGTCATTGCACCAACACAAGACCCATTCACTCTTACAGAAGTAGTGGGAACAAATAAAATGTCATTCGCCGACTTTTGCAAAAACAAAGTTGACTTAGACTTTGGTTTCTCAAACCTCAACACTGAAGTAAACTATTATTTCAATGCTGCTGGAGATGCTTGGGACCCAGTTAAGTTCACATGCGAAAATTTGAATGCAAGAGAATAGAAAGCAGACTTGCAGTCTATATGTTGGACCCAGATATTTCAAATGCTTTAGCTGCCAAATATATTGCAGTTCCACTTATGTTCCCTATACACCAAATATCTGTCAAAGACTTTGCAGGTGAAGTTGGAAACCAAAGTGCTGACCCAGGTGCAAGAACAGATATTGCTTTAACAACTGCAATGAAACATGCAGATACTATGTTTGTACTGTTCAGACGAACTATAAATGACTATTCTTGTTTCTACAACCCTGGTATTAAATATCATATAAACATAGATGGCAAATATTATCCAAGAGAAGAATATTCTACAGTTGAGGATATGAGGTCATACAACTTGACATTAGATGCTATGAACTTTAACAACAACTTCACAACAACCATTAACCCTGAAATGCAAAGTTCTATTATGCCATATGTGAAAGTATGGACTCATACAGGAGGTCAAAAAACTCAATATACAAATGGAGACCGTTCAAACTTTTGGCTTGGCATTCCATTTGCTGACTCAGAAGACTTTATGGGTGGTATTTCAACTGTTGGTACAGTTCAAATACAATATACTGGTGACAGAGACGGTCCAGATGAACTGAAGCAAAGAAGTTTACAAAACCAATAGCACTTTTCACGGAAGATGCTCTTTTGAAGATTCGTTCGATGAAACCTGCTGGGGCTCCTCAGATTGGTATAACGACAGCTTCCATCGAGCAGATTTTGGCAGCAGGTCAGTAAGTTGTTCTTGAACTGACTTCTCTCCGTCAAATATTGACAGTACGCCAGTTTTGACATAAAATTGTAAGATAAACTTTCCTTTAGAAATATCGGTCAGTTTTGTTGTTATATTTTTGTCTGCTTCAAGAACTTTCACCATCTCGGTTATACCAACTTTCTTTGCTTTATGAAAATATTTTGGTTCAGCAAAGACTGCTATTCTATAACATTTACCATTGTTTGTATAAAGAACTATTCTGTCAATGAACTTGTATTGTTTGTGTGTGTAAACTTTGTTCTGCTTCAATTCGAAGAGATACTCGAATACGTCCATCTTTTTATTCTAAGTAAAATGTCATTTCCGAAAAATAGAAGCGTAAGTGTTTCAAAAGGTTTAATGGCGGTGGCAGATGTGAAGTTAAATTCACCAACTCAAACAAACAGTCAAAGTGTTATTGTCAATGTCAAAGAAAGAGATGTTGAAGTGGGGAAACCATACGAAGACCAAGATGGTATAACAATAGTTCCTGTAAAAGAACAACCAACATACCCTGAAGTTAGCAGAGACTTAAGTTCTGTTGCAGATATTCGAAACGACTACCAACAACTTAAAGACAAACTTCAAACTCAGGAGAAGATTTGTCAGGCTTTGGGTATAATGTTAAACTTGGTTGAGCACAACCCTGTAAAGTGAACTCATATGTCATCGCACCTCATGAATTTTGAAAGAACTATTGAAACTTTTGACAGAGGCAGACGATATAAACATCAAAGAAATAGAACCCGACATTGCTTGCTGTGGTGTTTCATATAATGTCATTGACAAGATATACGTTATGAAAGGAGGTGAAACGTTGAACTTAAAATATAGTTTCCCAGACGTCATAAAAATATTTGACGACCACAACATTTCATTAAAGTTTGTTTGCTAAGTAAATGGCAGAAGACATAGTGGTTTATACTATTACGACTAAAAACCCTGAGTCATATAATTCTATAACAACAAACTTACAAAGTCCTCAAGGACGGTATTGTAAACTAACTTTAAACACAATGACGACTAAAGCCTGTTTTGCTCTTTTGACACCAGAAGACTTTGTTGTTGTGAATGGTAAAAAATACTTCTTTGAAGATACTTACTCAGATATACCACCAACAGGTTTTGTTGACTTATTTAATACTTTACGTACGAGTGTAACATGTGCTGCAACTAGAGCAGGTTTCATTATGTTTGGATGTCCGACCGAGTTTAGTATAAACGATATGAGCTATAATACAAAACTTATATCTGGTTTTTACTACCAACAGTTTCCTATAACAGGAAAAGGTGTCATACAAGGAATGTCTATTCCATTGACTTTAAGTACACCTATTTTATATATTGTTTCAAACTTAGGTTCAAAGTGCTATTCGAATGTCGACAGAAACTACTATGACCAAAAAATACTCATGCGTATAAACAACACTTTCTCTGCTGGTTTGCCTATTGTTCATTCGAATGCAGAGTTTTCAGCTTTAGTGAACTCAAACACTTTAGCAAACATAAACTTAACCTTAGTTGACGCAAACTTTGTTCCTGTAAAACTTTTATGTCCTATGTATTTGTCAATGACGGCAGAAAGTTTCGAATTGGAAGATGCAACTGGTGAAAGTATTGTACTACAAGAACAACTTCAACAACAAATAGCTCAAGAACAACAAATGCAACAAATAGCTCAAGAACAACAAATAGCTCAAGAATAAAAAAATATTTTTTTTTATTTTTATAAAAATGTACAGAATAGACGTTTCAGATTTTTATGACTTCCAAGCGTTCAGAAATATGTGTCCATTTAGAGACTATAACAAAGCAGTCGAGAATTTGAAACGTTTAGTCATTTATGTCGACTCTGCCCCAGAATGTTATGTCATGAAAGAATGGGATGTTGTCTTTAACAAACCAAGAGCGACAATAGTTTCAGAACAAGAATGTAGACAGAAACTTAAGAAAATAAAAGTCGTACAAGTTGGAATGAAGATGTTAGATGCTTGGGATATCTTATTGTCAAAGTTAGAAGATTTTTCAGTTCGTGGTATAAAGTTCTATACACCTTCTCCAAACTTCTATTCTATCTTCACTGGATATAAATACGAACAAGTAGAATGGAAAGAAAATGTTATAGAAGCTTGGTTAGACCATGTCAAAGAAATTATATGCAATGGAAACGAAAGAGTCTATGAGTATATCTTATGTTGGTTTGCAAACATCTTACAACATCCAAGTGCTAAAAATGAAACTGCTCTCATCATAATTGGAAAACAAGGAACAGGTAAGAACACTTTCTTTACAGATATCTTATGCAAACTGTTAGAGGGCTATTCGAACCCTAATATGACAAACTTAGAAAACATCTGCGGTAAATTTAACTCTTCAATAGAGAATATGAAACTTATAGTATGTAACGAACTTCAAAGTATAGATACAACAAAAGTTTTGAACTCAGATGCTTTGAAGAGTCTTATAACAGACAAAGTTGGAGTTGTTGAAAGAAAGTATAGAGACCAAAGAGTTTGTGAAAATGTTGCAAATTTCATCATGGTTTCAAACAATGCCGTTCCGATGAAGTTAGAAAGTTCTGACAGAAGATATGTAGTTGTCAGAACGTCAGATTCTCATATGCAAGATACAGAATATTTTGACGACTTAGCAGAAACTTTGACATCTGACTTTTACAACCACTTGTTCTCATATTTCATGACATTAGATATTTCTAAGTTCAATCCAAGACAAATTCCACATACCGAAAAAGACAAACATTGTTAGAAGCAAACAAGAGTGTATATGAACTGTTCATAGATGAAACTGACTTTGAGTGTTTAGATGAAAGGTCATTGTACGATTCGTATAAACAATATTGTCAAGAATATGGTTATATGACAGCGTCTAAACGAACATTCTTGGCAAATGTCAAAAATCTTTTAGATGTTCAGAACGGCGTATATACAAAGAAAAATTTTTCTGAGTAAATTTTAAAAAAATATTTTTTTATCCGATAGAAAAGATGACGAAATATATTTCAGTCAACAAATATATGTCAGGACTTAAAGAAGAACTAGACCCATTCGCTTATTTGAATGTTTACTTCTACCATTTTGAAAAGTCTACATTTGACAAAGTTTGGAACATCGAACCAGTTAAGTTTGCTATTGTGACTAAAAATGGTGCGAAATTTGAAGACTTAGACATAGAAGGTTTGTTAGCAGTCAAAGAAAATTTTGACAGAAGGTTTTCAAACCTTAAAGAAGGCAAAGCATACAAACTTGTTATACCTTATGAACCAAAGAAGACAGACGACTATGAATATTATGAGTCTAAGATAGTTGAAGTTCAAGGTAAATTAGGTAAAAAGATTTTAGAGTCTAAGCCAGTGTTTGCTCCTAAAGAGGAAGAGAACATTGACATTGACCCAGAAATGTTCTAAAAATAAAATTTTATTTTTACATGTCAAATTTCTTTTTCTCTGGTTCAGGTTCTTTCTTCTCTTCTTCTCTTTCTTTCTTCTTCTCTCTCTTCTTCTTCTTCTCTGGTGGAGTTATGTCAAACTTCTCAGAACCATATTTTTGTAAAAGGTCTTTGTCCTTTAATAGCTCTTCTATTCTGTTTTCTATTTCATCTTCAAGAACAGCGCATGTGTCTTCTTTGCATTCTAAGAACTTTTGTTGGACTTCAGCTTTCCAATCGGCGTCATCTCTGTCAACAAGTCTGTCATTGACAAATTTTAAGACTTCTCTGCTTAATGTTTTATGGTTCTTGTCATATTCCCAGAAACAGAACTTTAGAACAAATTCACCTTTCTTGTTTACACTATGTAAGATTTTATGGTCGACAGATGTTTTGCTGTCAAAAAGTTTGTCTCGAATATAGATAGCGAAATCGCTAGACATTTTCAAAAAGATAAAAATTTTAATTTTTCTAAAAATATGTTAGAAAAAAAGTTTGCTGACATTGACAAGAAATTTGAGAATGTTTTAAACAAGAACAAGAGGAAGTTAGAAAATGCTCAGATAAAACCCATACATGACAAGTTCCTATTTGCTCAGAATGGTATAACAGGTCTAATCGCACCACCTGGGTCGGGTAAGACTTTCACTTATCTTAAAATGGCTGCACAACAACAAGAACTAGATGAGAAGAACCCATTCTATGAGTTAGTAGTCATTTGTAGTACTTCTGGTCAATTCGATCAAACCGTCAATTCGTTCAAAGATATTATAAAGAAGTCTAAGTTAGTATGTATAAAAGACTCTGAGTTGTTGGATTGGATAAAGAAGTACCAAAGAAGAGTTTTGAAGTACAATGCTATAAATGAGTATGTCAATTCTAAGTTTAAAGACCCAAATGAGGAAATGCAGAGAATATTAGAGAAGAAACACTTCAGAAACAAACAGAAAGAGATAGAATACATTTCGAAGAAATTGCAATCTTACGATTGGAAGACTTACCCTCACAGGTGTCTTCTTATCTTAGATGATTTCGCCTCTCATCCTTTGTTAAAGAATAGAGAACAAGACATGTGTCGAATTCTTAAGAAGCTCAGACACTTTAACATTTCAGTTGTCATTTGTGTACAGACAGCAAAGAGTTTAAGTAAGGATGTTAAAAGAATACTTACTGATATCATACTTTTCCCTGGATTGTCCGAAGACGATTTCATGGAACTTATGAAAGAGTCCATGGCAGGTAAGTTTGACAGACATGAACTATGGGAGAAGTACAAAGTCATACAAGACCCTCATACTTCTTTCAGAATTCACATCTACGCGAACAAAGTTCAAATTGTAAAAAGTCAAGCGTAAAAAATGTAAGTGTTTAGTCTTAGTCTGTTGTGGTGCTGGGGCTGTCGGTTCTTCTGGCTTTGGAAGGCATTCAGGAAGAGGAACGTGAGACATTCGTTTGTGTCCTGTTGGAAGGAAGAACTTTTCCTGTTGGAAGGAAGAACTTTTCCAGTTGTCGGGAAAAATTTTTCCAGTTGTCGGGAAATTTTTTTCCAGTTGTCGGGAAAAATTTTTCCAGTTGTCGGGAAAAAAGTTCTCAATTTTCGAAAATTTGAATGGTTTACGGACGAACAACAGGAAAATTTTTTCCAGTTGTCGGGAAATTTTTTTCCAGTTGTCGGGAAATTTTTTTCTTGTCGGAAGGAAGGACTCGGAATGCCAGAAGGATTTGACGAGACAATTTACCTTATAGAGCTACCTGAGCCATCTGAAGTCAAGCGTAAAAATAAATGGTTCATTTACTCTACTTGTTTGAAGTTGTCAAAATACTCTGTTATTTTTTCCTTTAACAATGGCAAATCTTCTTTGAAGGTAAGAATTGTACAACCTTTCATATCATAGTGTGTTTGAGGTAACGTATCTTGAACTATTTGTTTCACATCTTCATTTGGGGTCATTGAAATCGGTAAGTTTTCGCGATAGAACCAATTTCTGTCAGATTTGTAAATCTTAGCAAGGTCGTAAAAGCTTTTGTTGTTTCTTCTGACTAAATGCAACATAACCATATCTTTATCTTCTTCATTTTCCATCTCTTCAGTATAAATCATATACTTATAGTTCTTTTCCTTTCCTTTTGGTACCGAACGTGGTATTCTTTTCTGTATGTTTTTGTCTTTTGCTTCAAGCTTGTTCTCTAGCTCTTCACGTTCTTGTCTGTGAATTTCGTCAAGAAGTCTGTAAATATTCCAAGCATAACGAGGCGAAGCCCACATTGCAACAGCATTTACAAGAAGTCTATGTACATAATATCCTCTCAAACCGTTTGGCAATTTTTCACGATTTTCATAGAGTTTTGGCGACTGGGGTTTCTTCCCTACTCGCTGTTCTTCACTGTTTTCAGAAAAAAGTATGTCTCGCTGTGCTTCGCTCAAAAGTTCTTGTGTGCTTTGGTTCCTAAACCAGTCTTTAGGAAGCTTAGTATCTGGAGCAAAACATGCTGTCAAAATACTTTGCATTTGGTACATATCGTCTTTGACCGAACGAATGAGACGGAGTTGTTTGTTAAACTGTATGTACTCGTATTCTTCATTTATAGCTTCATGGACTATAATTGTTGTGTTCTCTGTTGTTGACATATCTGTCTTTACATACAAAATAAAAAAATAAATAAAAATAAAACTAACTTTATTTTCTGACTTTCACAAAAGACCAAAATAAACGCTTTACATGTATTTTTCAGCAACTTCGTCAAATAATTTTATAGCACTATCTATCTCATCTACTTCAAACGTTTCTTTACCTTTCGTGGGAGCACCATACATTTTCTCAAACTTTTCAAGCAGTTCTGTTTCTGCAGCTCTCATATCGTTAACAAACACAACCTTAACTCTATTGACTGTAGAGTCATATCTTTTAGTTATATTAAATGTTCTTCCTATCTTATATCTCTTTGTATTGAAGTCTTTCGGTTTCTGAACGATGTAAAGTAAGCCTTCACTGCAACGTTCCGTATCGAATGAACCATATGTTATGAAATTATATCCAACAACTGGGTCTAACCAGAACAAAACTACTGGTATAAGACTTTTGTCTATAAGATATGCTGTAGTTCCATGAAATCTTACCGATATCATAAGCTCAGGATTTTTGTCAAAATTTTCTGAGTTGAAGCAATTTTAACCCAGTCGTTTGTTTTCTTTCCAGATGGAGATATAATGTCTGACAAGAATATTTGTTGTATTTTCTTTGAGTATCTTACGTTTAAATCA